TAATATTCTTTACTTAAACACTTTCACCTTAAGAATATTTGATGTACTAAAGGACTTATATCCCTTATGATTTTGAAAAACTTGTCAATTCATTTATCATCAGTAGAAACAACAAGACTGTGTCTTTACAAGTCTTCCTCAACAATCTATGAGAAAGTTGCTGCTGATTCCGAAAACTGCTGCTCTATTACTCTCTAATAAAAGGAGGTGGATCACATCACTTAGTGTTGAGGCCAAATAATGGTTTGGGGCCAAATATGTTTCAGATGTTTTGCTACGTTATGAAGTACTCATGTCTTTAATGGCGGGTTTGATTTTGTCACCGCAGCCAAAACTAAACATGGAGAAGCAGCATTTAGTTGTCATGCGCACCATACTTGGAGACACACACACCCAAACAACTGTAGGTCTTCTGCTACTCTCAGTTCTTTAAAACACGAACTGAAGGTTCTTCCGTTTTTTGCTGCATTCAATCAAATTATACGTTTTTTACACTGCCCTGTACAATATGCACTTTATAACCTTTTCTTAAAATGTTATTTTTCCTTGGCTCTAATTTGGATGTTTGTTTTGCACTTTGTCAGGATGCTTTTGATGTTTTGGATAAAGCATTTTGAATAGCCTTGTAGCTCAAAAGCGCCATATAAATAAAAATGGATTGAATACATGCAGAGCGGCAGAAGTGCTACTGCGGGTTATTTAGTTCGAACCCTTTCTCTGCTTTCAGTGGAGAACCTTGAAGTACAATTTGAAGAGAGCTATGTCAAGACTGTCTGAATGATGTTGTGAGCAGGTGATTGATTGAATGTCATATTTGTATTCAAAGCAGCAGCAAAGTCTTTCTTGTGGTAAGCTTGGAAGAAATGTATAAAAGAATAAGATACATATAGTGCACACATGCCAGAAACCGTGTGCATTTCTTTTCATAGCGGATCAGTCCACCTCCCAGCAGGATGGCCATCTGTGGTGTTTCCAGTGGAGTTTACTTTTTCTGGCTTGCCTCAATCATTTCTCCCTTTGTGTGACTGTTTGGGTTTCCCTGTGATGGATTGGTGACCGATCCAGGGCGTAGCCTGTCTCTAATGAAATACATGATGGGATAGTCCCCGCTGACCCTTAACAGCACAAGCTGTTTAAAAATGAGACACATAGATGAATATCACAAACACATAACTACATTTTGTCATGGTAGCATGTCAGGAAATCAGTACCATCTTTTTGGGGAATATTTGTACTGTTTTTGAGCTAAAAGCAAATACACAACATAACTCTGTGGCTGAAATGTTTTTAGTAAACATTTAGTTTATACCTTAACACTTGATTTAGGGATTTTAAATGCCTACATTTCTTAGCCATTTTAGTAACTAGAACCTCATTCTGCCTAGCAAGTAGGAAGAAACACAAAATATAAAATTGCTTCCCCGAGACTGACCATGAATTTTTTATTTTGCCTGCGGTATATACATGATTGCAATAAAAACACAATTTGGTGGCACTTAACTAGAGGATTATAGCCATCAATATTAGATGAAGAAGTTCTCCCTCAAGTTAATGAAATCCTTGGATGCATGCCCGTATTCGGAGGGCAGACTGATAAGGAACGGATCATTCAACTTCCTTCCTTAACAGTTGAATTACTATATTGATATTTTAGTGGCCCAGAGATACAAATACGTTATGTTTCACATAAGCCACTGTACGTTGTCTGTTCTACTTCCTAAGCCACACTGTTTATCAGATTACAATACTCATAGGTAAAACTGTAAGCTTGTTTATCTCATCATATGTTGGGATACATTATTTTTATGACATAGAGGTATACAAAGACTGGTAGGCAAGCAGCCTGTTGACCGGAATGGTAACATTATTAACACTACAAGTAGGATTTGTGGTTGTAGTGTAGGTATTTGTATTATTAGTTGTAATAGTATGTTGTCCATAGAGGCAGTTCCTCCGATGAAGAGAGAAAGGGCATTGCGTATAGCCTCGGGGAAAACACTGCAGAAGCATCATCTCTCCTTTTCTTTGTGGTAACTTGGGGGACATTTAGAAGGCAAGCTGCTGAAGACCTTAGGGGATACGTGAGGGGACAGGAAATGATCGACAGTATGGGATGTAGGGAGGAGTGGAACCATTTATTGCCTTAAAAACCTTGAAGGAGGACTGCATTATGTTGCAACCTGCAGCAAGGTATACATTCTTGAGGAAAACAAGATTCAGTGCAGACAATGCAATTCCCTCTTTTCTTTTATGTCCGTTCTGTTTGAGTCCAACAACAATAGAGAGAAGGTAAACATTTCAGACAAACATCTGTTACAGCAGACTGTTTTAATTAGTTTAACTTCTTACACCTATTGACTTGTTTGATAGTAAAACGTTCTCACTAATGTTTTACTACTACGTTTGTTCCTAATGTGTCAAAGTCAACTTTATTGTCAATCAATGTGTGTACAGACAGAGAGATCGACATATCGTTTCCCATAATCCCGAATTCAAAAATACATACAAATATGTATATATACCTATATAATATACACAATCAACAGACAGATGTATACATATGCACACATTAAGACATACATACAAGCACAACAATCAATATATACAAAATAACAGTCACTTCAAAGTGTGTGTTTGTATAAGATTGATCCTCATCCAATTTCATTTGAATGTCAACATATTTCTGTAACCTGTGTATCATACTCCAAAACTCCAGGGGTACAAGAAATCATGTTCACTACATTCTGTGGCATAACTCATTGTAAAGCTGAAATATGGGTTGCAACATTAACATCATATCAAACAATTAGCTCTGTGAACAGTGTAGAAAGGGAGTCGTTAGGTTGGATCGATGCTGTTAGACAAATGTTTATCATTTACTGTTGACCATAGTGAAGTCACATTTTGGCTGGCTCTGACTGCTGGAATAGGGTTTCAGTCTTTCTGACTGTTGGTCACAGTCCGTCAATGGATGGGATGGGTTCCCTGACTGCTCGTTGTGTGACAGCATATGAACGCTCATTTCCAAACATACCAGATGTCCAGTTTCTCTTTATGTCCTCCAGAGCCTCCGTTCTGCTCCGTCAGGGTCATCGTGAGAATCATCACGAAGACATTCATATCCCTGCATTTTATAAAGTTCTTAAGTCAAGTTTTAGGGAGATAAGGGTTTACTTGTAGAACTTCATTTAAGAGTGTCAATTATTGTGTTTTACACCAAACATGATTTGATAATGAATGGTTTTAAGAATGCTATTTGATTGAATTTATGCTTCGGATTAACGCAAAAATAACACATTTAAATTATAACTAATGTCTATTTCTTGAAGTATGGTGAGTGGGAGCCAGTATTCTCAATCTAACCAGATGTTATATCCCTAGTGAGATCACAGTGGGGAAATAATCCTTTCCACTCAAATATTCTCCTTAAAGATAGTGAGCATTTAGTAATGATTTGATATTAATAGATATGTAGGAATATGATTATTTATGGGTCACTTGATGTAAAATGTATCAATTTGATTTCTATAATGGTCAGTAATATATTTAAAATATAAAAACATTCAGCAAGCAGTATACCCACCTTATTTGATGTAAAAAATAAAAAGCATGACATAGAAATGAAGTCTAACCTCCACTTGTCCTTGCTGCAGAGAACAAAGCTCTTTATTTCCTTCGCTGCTGTTCTCACACCCCTCGTTGAGGTCACACATTATTTCCAGAGTCTCACGATGCAGTTTCACCGTGTAATAAACACAATGTTTCTTTACTTTTGTCCTTACCATTTCCTATTGTCTAAACACTGACAATACCATCATTAGGAGCGTAAGCAGAAGCCGTGGATTTACTGCACTTGGATCCCTCTAAATCTTTTTCTTTCTCTTTGTTGTCTGACTTTCTTATTTACTTTTACCACCTCACAAATATAACATCTTATTATTCTGAACTGAACTGAGACAGTTTGTTCTTCTTTTATGGACTTAAATACAATCGAAGCCCACATTCACCACTCATTGTAAACAGACATTTATAAATTGCAATATAATGTTTTGTTTTTATTAAGGAAACAGATCATCATTATACACTACACTAAGTATCAATAACTTATACATTTCCTCTGCTTGTCTGGTAATGTGATTTGAGTAATGGTAGGTGGGGGGGGGGCGGGGGGGGTTGTAGCATGTCACAGATCAACGGAATACCTCACCTCAGCTTTGCCAGTCGCCTCAGGCTTAATCCTTCTCATTTGTAACCGAGGGTCTCCTCTGACTCACGAGTCAATAAAAGAGATTTTAATACTTAAACCATTATTATTTCAAATCATTGTCAAAAAGGCGAGATTAATCACTGACTTATGCCCTATTAAGGCCAGGAAAGTGGTCCATGCATTCTGCGTTATTGACATTTAAGGGCCTGAAAACAAGTAATGCTAATGACATAATCTAGCCCCACCCCCCCCCCCCCCCCTCTCCAGCCTGTCTGTCCTCCTGCCTCAGACAAACGGGCTCATCTGCACCGGATCATTTGCCGTCTCTTGATACGCTGCGGTTTATAGCCAATTATTTCTCGCGATCCATTATCGATTACAGTGTTATCTTTCTTGCATTGCTTAATCTTTTGGCACAGGAACACAGCGGCTCGCAGGGGGGCCGGGAAACAAACTGCCTAGCGATGAGAACACTAGTTTAGATGGATGGTTGTTCATTTGCTTGTAGATGGGAACAGTTTAAATTCAAACTCATTCAGACTTTATTCAGTATTCGAGAGGGTAGGGTGTTTTTTATTTGCAGCTCCCTGTATTAGGAATTTGAAACAACAGCAGTCAATTTATCCAAATAATTAGTATGGATGAATGAAGTCCTCTGAGGTTAACACACTTTTGTTTGTGTTTGCTTTGTCCTGTAGTTCAACATGGCTGACAATAAACCGGAAGGACAATTACTATTTTGACTGAATATTGTGTAACTGACTTTTTGTGCATCTCTCTGTCTTCTTTCTAGTTGGGTTAATAATTTCGGTCATGAGGGTCTTGGTCTTCTGCTGGAAGCGCTGGAGAAGCTGCTGGATAAGAAACAGTAAGTGATCTCTTATTACATCCCAATATCTGTCATTTTTTAAGCGACAGGTTCTGATGCGATCAATAATCACAATATCCTTTTTCATTTTTGTTTTTCAGGCAAGAAAATATTGATAAACGGAACCAACATAAGCTTATCCAATGCTTGAAGGCTTTTATGAACAACAAGGTTTGTAAGAGTCAACAAAGATTATCGACACACAATGTTACCTCATTATACATGCATGATTCAATGGTATTTCTTGGATGCATTCCTAAATGTCCTGCTAATTTCAATTCACTATTTAAAGTGTAAAGGCCATGTCTAATATGTAATACCAGTGTGTAGAAATCATGCTATGATAAAAAAAAAAAACTCTGACAAGCCTGGGATGGTGTCAAACCAAAGGGAAGCAGATTTTACTATTTCAAGCACACAGTCTCAGATCTTTTAATTATCTTTTTTTGGGAAGGCCTGGCTCATTTCTCAAAAGTGGCACACATTTCAAGGATAAATGAACTATTGATATTGCTTCTCGTGGAGCTAATCCCCACACGTGGTCTGCTCTGCCCATTCCTTCAGTGGTGGGGAGACTAAAAGGTACAGGAGACTATAAGCATTTGTCCCTATAGTCCTGTCCTGAATTGAATTAATTCATCATCCTCTTCATTTTCTCCCACGGCCTCGTTGTCCCTCCTTAAAATAAAATGAAGGCTAACTATATCTAACGTACATTTGAGCTTCTTTCTATAATTCATTTTTTACCTGAAGTGAAAGTTCCCCATGAATGCTCTCATTAATTTATACCCAATGGACCTTTTCTGTTTCCCACCTCCTCCATTCTATGTCTCACAGTATGGACTGCAAAGGATCCTGGGAGATGAGCGGAGCCTGCTACTGTTGGCTCGAGCCATTGACCCAAAACAGACCAGCATGATGACAGAGACCGTCAAAATTCTGTCTGCTTTCTGTATTATTGGAGAGGAAAACATGTAAGTCCAATTACCTGACTGTTTGTCACATTAAGTTCGCACACATCTTGCTCTTTCTTGAGTCTTGCATAAAATGAAAGACTCAATATGTAAATGATATCCTCCCAATAATGTTACGTAACATACATATTTGGTCACATATCAGATAACGTATTTAAAAGCTTCAGTTCTAATCGCTAAGGTGTCAAATGATTAGCCATTAGGTGTGAATATAAATCCACTTTTGTTTCTTGTTACTCAGGATAATCTGCAAACATCACTGCGGACATTTTCCATTGTAGACACTGTCCAGAGGTTTCAGTGACAGATACCGTAAACATTTTCAAATAAAAATATAAGCATAGCTATTACCCAGCTTACCTTGTGGTAATATGTTGTTTTGCAATTTGACCCTTTAAATATTTTACGTAACCTCCTCCATGTAAAGTTGAAAGTGTACTTTCTCAGTAAATCACAGCTGATAGTGAAACAACACGATACCAATACCAAATATATATACAAATATGATAAAGATTAGGTCCGTCTCCACTCTGTTTTCACTCTCTAATGTTTAGCAAGAAGATAGGAGACGTCTGTTTCTTGTAAACACTTGAATATCACTATTGTTTTAATCGTCTCTCACTAGGTGGCATGTACTCAATCAGAGGCTGAGCCGCATGTATTCATGTTAACCCACTGTGCTCATCGATGACAGATGACCTCACACAGGATAGACATTTGTAGGGTCCCATGGTTAGATGATGCAGTTTAGTCTGTTTAATGTGTTGAACTACTCAGTGCAGTTTGCCACGGACACACCACCGGTCTGACAGCTTATAAATTGGATTTAAGGGAGTGTTTTTTATTGTTTCCCACAGGGCCAGACTAGAATAACAATGGCACTTCAAAGTCAGTCTGTATGCAGTGCTGGAAATAAAAAAAACACAAAATCTGCTGGAGAAGCTGAGTTCAGCAGAGTGTCTCACACCTCTGACCGTCCAGATAATCCTTTAATGTAACACTTTGACATTTAATAAATGATCTATTACAGTCACCATTACACCATGCCCGCAGACAGCTATTTAACCAAATACGGGGAGATTAGATAGTGCATGTCTGTCTGTCTCAATCTCAAAGTGTTCAAGACTAAGTTAAAGCTAGCATGGAAATCTTTGCCATGATCACATCTCTGCATTAAAATTAACCTATCCTGTCGTAATGACAGCCAAAGGAGCCGAGGCGTCACTTTCTTGCTCAAAAACGTCTCTACCAACCTATGTTGTGACGCTGGCTCATGTTCAACACCCACTTCAGCTGACAGCATCAAAAAGGGAACACGACAAGTTAAGCAGATCTATCTGGCCCGTTTGAAGCCTCGCCTGAACCGGCTTTAAAGCTGCTCAGTATGCAGCACCCCCCATGCTTGTCTGTGACTCTGTAACCCCTATCACAGAGCGTGGCTGTTCAATTTATCTCTTTGTCAAGCTAACTCCACACATACAGTCCTTTTGGTCGGACACACCATCTCGCACACTCACAAAGCAACTGCTATTCATTTGTCATCCTGAAAGTCTTATGTCTTTGTGCTGATAAGGGCAATACAAATGGAAAAAACAAGCCAACTGGCATGTGTGAGTATGAACATGCATAAGGCTGATATTTCTAAGTTTAACCTTTGCCCTTGTGTGTCCATTTATTTATTTTTGAACACATTTATCGGAACAACGAGTGAACGTATATCAGACTAAGAGCCCTTTTGTACTCCGGGAGAAAGAAGGTTAAAGAAAGGATTAAGCGTTTCAATATCTCACTTGATTACGGTAAAATAGCGAATGGGGCCTTGAAGTGTCAGAGAGACCACCTGTTTCCAATTATAATGTGTGCACTTGTAAATCACTGTTTACATAATTGCTCAAAATACATCAATTAACTTTTATTGCATCCTGTGTGTGTGCGTTTGCATGTGCAGCACACCATTCCTCTTTCATTTACAATTTAGAGACGGAAATTGTCCAATGTTCTATTTAGCGGAGCTGCCTTGAGCCCTTGCAAGTGCTCAATTTGCTTACCTTCTCAATAGGTGTATTTGCACATTAGTCTGGCAGTCCCTACTATAATTTTCATCCTTTCTCACACAGCCACATACACTCATCCACAATTGCTTTGACAATTGAACACATTTGCAGTAAAACCCTGTTTTTGTATAGCATCACTTTAGTAACAATCATGATGAGATCAAAAATGGATACTGCCACCATAATAAACCGGATTCCATTCAAAGAGATGGAGCGCGGTAACATTTGTCAGGGTGACCAAAGACTGGCCGAGCAAATGTCCACACCAACACACAGGGGAGATAAGATACACAGTGGTTGAGCTGGAAATTGTGAGTAAATGTCCTGTCAGTGAGGTGATAAAAGTATTTGTTGACTCTTGTGTTGTGCCTGCTCCCTGTTCCCTGTTTTCTTCCAGCCTGGATAAGATTCTAGCTGCCATGACAATTGCTGCAGAGAGGAACAACAAAGAGAGATTTGCTTCGATTGTGGAAGGACTGGAGAACCATGAAGCCCAGCAGCTCCAGGTTAGGAATCACACCAAAAAGAAACACAATAACGTCACTGTCTGATAGCTATTATTAATTAGTTTATCATGCAAAATGCACGTTTTCCTGTCTTTTCTACATCAACATGTGTCCCCTCTGTGTAAAGAGACTCTGTAAGTTTCAGGGACAAAGATTCTCTCACTTTCTGTCCTGATCCATTTCTATAAAAACCTGTCTGAAAATAAGCCGATCAGATTTTGGCTACTTTATGATGTCATAACGATTTCTTGGCGTGTGTAACCATTAGCCAAAAACCAACCAAGGTACCCCCCCCCCCACCTTATCACCTGCATCTCCTCCTAGAGAACCATTGAGTTATTTGTAACCAAATACCTCTCAGAGGGGCGTGGGGAGGGGCTCCTTATTTTCATCTAAAGTAACAGACAGAGAATCAGCACTTTTGAAACAGGGTTGAAACAGAGGGGATTATGGGATGCTACAATGCATCATCTGCCAAACACTTCAGAGAAATGTATTGTATATATCTGAGCTATATATTGATGAAAAACAGTATTATAGGGGACCTTTAGGATAAAGGTGACCCTAATGGTTATTTGACCAAAACTCTTTTTGCACTTATAACACTGCTTTCTGCGGTACAGTCGACATTTCAGTATGCCTTGAGTACACACTTATTAATACAATCCAAACTTTTGAAATGAAACAGGTAACTTATTAACAAAAGCAGGAGTTCTGCCATGTATTGTGGAAAGAAACCCATCACAGTCCAGTGTTATTCACACATATCCCTTTTGTCTTTAAAACCACTTTTAATGCCAGACAATACAGACATTGACAGTCGAGTCACTCTGGGGCCCGTCGTACCTCAGCTGTCTTCATACACATGTTTTTCTCTGCTTTTCTTACTGTCCTTGGGTCCCCTTGTCAACCCCGCTGCACCTCTTGTGAATGATGGGATGTGATCACTGCGCTATTGAAATGCACCCGGAGATCCATTGCCACTGCTTTAATCCAAAACACCTGCTCCATTGAGCACATCTGCTGAGTTTTGCGAACACAAAAAAAAAGCAGAGGTTGAGTTCCCGTGAAACAGTTTGTCTCTTTTCTCTCTTCTCCTATGTTCTCCTCCTCTCACTATCTTGCTCATTTTTTCTCACATCTTACAAATACTTCCCCTTGCTTTTTTACACACTGCTGTCAAGTTGTGTCTCAGAAGACTCGGTGTGAAAGGGCAACTACTGTAAAGCACCTACCTCTCTTCATTTCCACTAGTCTTCTTTACAGCAGCAATAAAATCGAAGCTTAAAACATGTTTTGTGAAACAAAAGAAGGGAATTACTTAAGGAATTACCTTTTTAACTGCGGGGATTGTGAAGTCATGAAGGAAACTGATGAGGCGGGCGGTGAAAGTGAAAGTAGATATTCTTTTATTAGGGGGCTGTTGTTTTTCCTTTAAATTTTGCGGTTAATGAAATGAAGCTCTGCTAATTGTGAAGTAAATTAAAATGCTTTGCTGATGCAGGGGGTTCGAGGAAATTAATAGACTTTTTTTTGATCCCAAACCTGTTAAGGGCTGTAGAAGTAGACTTAGATAATGTCATTAAACATTTTTTGACGCAGTTCAGGCTATGCTTGCCTGCTGAACACGAGAGAAACTCTGCATTTCAACTTTAAGAAAAAACTTCCCATCTGTCGAACTTTGATCACGATGTTTGGAACCCGCACTGCAGCTCTAAACCTAACACAGAGAACTCCCCCAACCTGAACCCCAACACAACCGCTTCCCACTCCACAGTACATGCGAGGTATGTTTGAGTTGCTTGATGTATGTTTCAATTTGAATGCAGAAGAAGAGAAAGAATTGTTCATGAGCTCCACAGCTTTCTTGCCTCGCATAAATTCTGTGAAGATTTGGCGAAATGTCTTTTATGAATGCGGCCTCTGGTGGATACAGTAACATGTCAGGTTTCAATGCACAGGTCTGGTTCCAGGCTCTAAAGCTTTAGTGGAACATGAACAAGTCAGCCATGTTCCTGGAGCCGCGCACTGGTGCAACGTAGTCAACAGCGGCGCATCCTTTACTGCGACAAGCATGTGCTTTCCCAATGGGAACGTGCAGTATTTCACAGTATATATATTTGCATAACAACATGCACCAACACAAACCAATACTCTTCATTTCAAATACGTTTCTGTTTTGCCTTTCATCAAATACAACTCAAAAAGATTAGATTCTTGCACTGATCATAATCAATGACAATCAAAATAAGGTTCTTTGAACCAAAGTATATAAATATTTAGGGTGGAAGCAAGATAATTATTAATAAGAGAGTATTTCAGATGACATTCTTGGAGCTTGGAGGTTTTAGTAGGTAAGACATTTGATCAAACTGACCCAGGCAACTGCACACAATCAGCATTGTTTCGGCTCTTATTAATAAAGCAGACCATTCAGAACAGGAAGTACAGGGTCAAGGTTTCAGAAAACGACGTTTCACAGCATCCATGGGAATCCTTCAGCCTGCTATCGATTTTTTGTCCAAGGAAAACTGTCTTATCCATGGCTTGCTCCCCTGAAACACCTTACTGCTCATTATAATTCATCAGCGATTTTTTTCTTAACCCCCCTCTCTCACCCTACACACGCACACACACACACACACACACACACACACACACACACACACACACACACACACACACACACACACACACTGCGGCTTTTCCCTTACCAATAAAACCATTAATAATGCGCAAACTGTGCTCTCTTTCTCTCTCTCTCTCTCTCTCTCTCTCTGTCTCTCCTTACCCTTCTTCCCTCATCGATGAAATCCATCCCTCTCTGTTTCGGAAAGAGAGTGTTAAGAGAAACAATTATGCTAAAAGACATATTTTTACATACAAAAACACAAAAGGTGCACTCATACTATTACGTCTTGTATGTGTTATTTCTTATTTGTGGTCTTTTCCTTATTTTGTGTGTCTCCTCCACAGGTCGCCTGCATGCAGCTGATCAATGCGCTGGTCACCTCCCCCGATGACCTGGACTTCCGGATACACCTACGCAACGAGTTCTTGAGATGTGGCCTCAAGAAGATCCTACCTGTGAGTATTCAACTTTCTCACAGCACATGGCTGCATTATTCACATGCATGAGAACTCAAGGTCGCTCCTGACTTTGTGAAAGACCTTTTTGCCCAAATATTTACTTTTTCCTGTGTTAATCGGTATATTCGATCAATGCTATTCATTACACATTCTGGTCAAATAACACAGCACTGTGTTGCCTTAGTAATTCTGTTATAACCTTACTTTTAATAGTAATGATTCCCAGAGGCTCTTTGAATACTTTCTAACTGCAACTAGTAGATCACATTATATCAGAACAAATCAGAGTTTGAATGTGTGCTGTTTAAAAGTGTCCAAACTTGAACATTTCTTTGAATATATAGTTAATAAATGACTAAAGAACATTTTCAGTCATTCAAAAACTTGGAACAACATGTGCTATTTATGTAATGCTTAGTTTTAACAATAAGGCATTCAAACCAAATAATCCAGGTGTCACTTAAAGGTAGGGTAGGTAATTCGTGTGTGTTGGAGGAGGGGCTCTGTAAGGAAGTGGCAGATTTTTTCCGGTTGTGTATTTTCAAATTCTAGCGCACTCGAGCTGGTTTCTCCAAAATGACCTACCCCACCTTTAAGAGAAATGTCATATGTAAGACAAGTTTTTCTTATAAAGGAAATTAGTAGTAGAAGTTCTTGCGGTGTAACTAGTAGTAGTAGCTTGTGTCAGATGTGATGCAGTGCCAGCCCCTCATCACAGGTCGACCTGGCATCGTTAGCAGCAGGCCTACAAATCTTCACATGAGGCGAAGGCAAACGAGCCCCAACTCATCACTCAAGCTCTCATTTGTAGCGAGTGGGGTGAGCATGTCACAAAGCCAGTTGTTAATAAGTCATCCCAGCTGCTCCTGTTGATTATTACTGCCATTACTTTAATTATCTTCAATTCTGCCCTGTGATATGAAAGAGTCTCAGTGTACAGTCATTTATGAATGCCACATTCACCGCTTTTAATGCCCACATTCAAACTGACACTCGTTCATCTAATTATGAGTTATGCTCGAGAGCCAGCGTAGCCGTCGGTGAAAAAAAAAAGCAAAATCTGTTTTATTCTTATAGTCCTTGACACATGTACTTGGCCCTTCTTTTCTCCTTCCCTCTTTTTTTGTTCAATTGTGCTCCTCCCTCTGAACCACTGTTGCTCAAAACAGATGGTGCGCCCAAAAACAGTGCAGGGTGATTGATACCTGCAGAAATTGGGTTACATTTGGCCCTGTCTCTGTCTGTAAACTCCACTGCCGGTGATTCATAGAGAAGTGGTAAAGAGCACTGCCGGAGCCCCTCGTGGCTGGAACAGGTGTGCAGGAATAGGTTCTGTCTGGAGAGAGAGATTCCAGGGCGTCTCAGTTCACAGTTCTCTACAGTACTCTACTAATATACTAGTATCACCGTTTTTACAATAGGCCTGATAAAGTGACACAATTCCAATTGTAGAGGAATACGTTTTAAAAGTTATTTCTTGCAGGTGATACAATTCTTATCATAATCTACACTGCAAGATGACCTTTGTTCACATGTTCAGCTATGTTCTGTGTGTCTAACTCATTATAGGAGCTGAAAGAGACAGAGGAGCTCGACATTCAGCTGAAGGTGTTCAATGAGAACAAGGAGGAGGATTCCATCGAACTCTCACATCGCCTGGATGACATCCGCACTGAGATGGAATATCCTTTTTTTCCCCTCCCTCTGTGTGAATATACAGATAAATCGGCCTGCAGAACTAACAGTGTGAGATGAGTGTATATTGTGGGTTTGGTCAAGCTTTACGGGCTTAAGCCTCTCATAGCTTGGTTCATTAGAGAAGGATTTGATGAGCCAGAGCACAATATCCAGCTCCGTCTCTGACCAGGTATAGGTAAATAACCCTGTCATCTGAACCTCCCACCGATGCACTCTTCTTTTTATTGACTCTCATCCTTGTCTCCTCTCCTTTCCTCTTCTCTCCTCTTCTATTTGACTTAAGTAGGACTGTTGTAAGACAAAAAATAATATCAGACTGGCTGGTTCTTACCAATTATTATTCACAGAACACAATCAAAATGTGTTATGTTGAGTCATATTATATTACATGCACACTATTTCTCCTGTAAAGGCATTATCACTCATTGTCTTACTGTTCCATTTTTCGAAATTTGAATTGTCTCTCCCCCAGCAATCTGCCAGTGTCCATTTGACTCCAAACATGCAGAGTAGAAGTTGATAAGGTGAGCCGTAAATTAGTCCAGAGTTAGACACTACAAGCATCCCAGAGAATACCCTTTAATTATTCACAAATCTTCTCTGCGGCTATGTATGAACGTCTGACATTGTGAGCAGACAAACCAGACGCTGACATTGTTATGCAGATGGTCATTCGCACATCCTCTTTCTTCCACAAAATCCCTGACTTCTAGTACTGGCACCAAGTTCCGCAGTGAGTGACAGTGTGTGTTGACACTTCAGGGTGAGGGGAGGAGGTTGTGGATGTGTGGGAGTGGAGAGGAAAAACACGTACACCTGGATTAATGATGTGCTTGAGCAGGTTCACAAATGAGTAGGCCCAATGTTTGTTTCCAAGGACAATGTGGTATTGATCTGCAGACTCTGAGCATGATTCGAAATCCCAGGCTACCTTTTTTTTCATTTTCCTGCATAGCTCTCAAACACCCACGCACACAACTGCACACACACGTATATGCATGATATCACGCTGGTAGTACTTCTACTACCTGAGCGTTGCATATGTGTCTTTTTTCTCCCAGCAGTTTCATGAATATTAACCCAAGGGGCTCGTCTCCTCTGTGTCCGGCCCCGGTCCTGGTGCGCGGAGGTGACTCCAGGCCACTAATGAATATTAATGAGCTGTGGAATGGTGATTGATTGACCCCAGCACTGACTGGCCAACGTCACACCTGACTGCCACTCATGTTTATTCATTATTTCAAGAGGAAGTGTAAAGAGAGAGATTGAGAGAGAGAAAAGACAGCGTGGAGGGGGTGTCATCGAACGGATTGGCATTCTACATTAGGTTTATGTCTGCAGCTTAGTGATAGACGAAGCTAGTTGGATACTTTCCCAGTCTGAGCTCCTTCTCATGTCCTCTCAAATGCTGCTGTGGTGAGGCTATAATTGAATCTCACAGGATTTGTAATTCTCCCAGGCTTCATACTCAGCTAATACAAGGGAGGGAAATGATACTGCAGCGGAGCCTGTATTCCCATCCCTCTAAAAATTTGATATGGGATACGAGTTTAATTACAGGCATTGTTGAAATTAATAGGAAGAGTGTCAAACAGTATTTAAAAGAATTGATTTTCTGCAATTGCAACTGCTGCAGATTGTTTTGTGTGGATGATGGCATGGGAAATGGAGAATGCAGTTAAGTGCTGTTTTTTCTGTTTTTGAGGGAATACATTATTATTTAATTTTTTTACAGAGTCCTCATTCATTAGCTGTTGATGTAACATGACAAATAACATTAGGAATAAATAAAGCATTGACAGAACCGTTTAAAACACGTTAGGTGTATGTCCGCTCTAATCGGTCATGGGTTTTGAATAACACCATTAGTAAATCTGTCAATTTTTACAAGATGTTTGTAGTAGTGGATTTAGAAATATGACGGCTGCTATAGTGATCTTTTTGGTCTTAATTCATTCTGTACACTCAAGCGAAAAACACTTATGCATTTAACAGATATATGCTCTACCTGATACACTAGGGAGAAGCATCACAACATGGTTCATCCTGCCTCCATTATGAAAGTGTTGCTTCACTGTCTCTTTCACTACGTACATATTTAACACATTGTCAAGATCTGCACTTCATGTTAGGATGCCAATCAGGTTCTCATCAATAGAAGCTTAACAGGGTTCTCTCTACTAAGTCTTTTTTTTTGCATGTATGCTCATATCTGACAGGCTTATTCCACTTTTTCAAACACGATGAGTCTCCACAGGGAAATCCTCCTTTCTCAAGCAAACAAATGAAATAGGCACCAAATCGATAGTTACGGCTGTAACTACGGTTCTATGAGTCCCGGATGACCGCCAGAGGCGGTGCTTTAAGCACTGGATATGTCCATTGCGCGCATGCGCAGCTCGAGTACCAATAACAACAAAGTCACCTGTGACCCATGTGACACCGGCTATATCAGCCGTCGTCAGAGGATCTGTTCCCAGAATCTTCTCGCGAGCACACAATAATTCTGAGTGACAGGGAACTCTGGCGGTCATCCGGGACTCATAGAACCGTAGTTACAGCCGTAACTATCGTTCTATTTCGTCCCTACTGACCGCCAGAGGCGGTGCTTTAAGCACTGGATGACTTATACCAACAATGTCATGAAGAATCCAAGCCCTTGCTCACCACTGGAAACAGCGGAGCTCGGCAAAAGGACCACGCCCAAAGAATGGGGAGTGGCGACATTGACCTGATGACAACTGGAAAATGTGCCAGAAGACGCCCACGACGCCGCGGCGTAGATGGTCTCCAGGGGCACCACCCTCAGGGCAGCCCAATATGTTGAGATGCTCCTTGTAGAGTGGCATCTCAGCCTGATGGCAGGGGGCGGCCACTGGCCCCGTAAGCCTGTAAGATGGTATCGACAACCCAGTGGGGCAGCCACTGGTTAGAGGGCATAACCTTTAGTGCCGCCAGGGCAAAATCAAGAGTTGCTCCTACTGCCGTATACAGGCAGTAGCCTTGATATACGCCCTTTGGGCACCCCCAGGGCACAGCAACTTCGACGTGCCGTACTCCTGAATGTCAAAGCGTGCCAGCTGGGCAGGCTGATTGAAGTGGGTTTGTGGAAGGACCCCGGGCCGGAATGCCACATTTGCCCAAAGGGCAACGCCTGAGAGTCCCACCTCGGGCATGTATTGTTTATGGAGAGGACATGCAACTCCCCGACTCGCTTCCCTGAGGCTATGGCAAGCAGAAATGCTGCCTTCGTGGGCAGCCACCTAATTCCCACCTGGGCCAGGGGCTCGAAGGGAGGAGATGATAGGGCATCCGGCAGCAGGGGCAGGTCCCAAGCCGGAGCCCTCGGGGTGCTAGGGGGACGCTGCCGTAAAGCCCCTCTCATAAAGAGGGACACCGACCTGTGGCACCCCGCCGTGGCGCCGTCGACCCGAACATGTCGGGCAGAAATCGCAGCCACATAAATTCAGAGTGGAGTGAGAACGTCCACTATCTACAAGGGATTGTTGTCTAAGCAACAACGTATGCTGTCCCCAAGGAACACGCACATTCTTGCCCCCCAGTTGGGGTAGAAAGTGCGTGAGTGCAAGCTGCACAGCCCGAAGCTCTAGCACGTTGACCTGGCGCGCACTCTCCTGGGCAGACCGCTGACCCTGAACGGTCCTGCCCTGCCGCACTGCACCCCACCCTGAGAGACATGCACCTATGGTGATGGTCTCCTGGTGGGATGGGAATGGCGCCCATGGGCACGCCCACCAGGAGATAGGCCCTGCCCCTCCAGCGTGACAGAGAGTGGAGGCAATGCTGCGACACCCTGACTTCCCTGTGCCTGTGCCACTTGGCGTCCAAGTGAAGGCTGTTCAGCCACATCTGCATGGGGCGCAACGACAGCGGGCCTAAGGGCCCAGCGGCCGAGGCAGCTGCCAGTCTGCCCAAGGGCCGGAGGAACTGAATATAAGGCACCATCTTGCCCGGCCCACATGGAAGTAGGCATCCCTCAAGTCCACGGTTGAGAACCACTCCACCTGTGCATATGCAGTGGTCAGCATATAGAATGGCAGCACCTTCGGGAATCTGTTGATTCCTCTGAGGTCCAAGATCGGGCGAAATCCGCCGACTTTCTTGCTCACGAGAAAGTACGCCGAGTAGAACCCCCTGGGCTAAGCAGAGGGTCTTACTGGCTTGATTGCGTCCTTGGACAGAAGGACGGACAACTCTTGGGCCAGAGCTAGGGCCCCTGCCGGATCGCTGACGACTGTCAATTAGACCCAGCCGAAGGCTAGGGGCCGGAGCTGCGGTCCGTACCCCTGGGTTAAGGTGAAAACCACCCAAGGGACGGAAGTACAGACCCCGGAAGGCGGGCGACCTGGGGCACGAAAGTCATTGGGTCGCGCCGCTAAGACCTCTGCAGACCACCCCTGCAATCCGGCGGCTGAGTGCGGCTGCTAGAGCGGCCCCTGGGCCTGCTGGGAGTGGGCACAGGTCTGCGAAGACCCGAGAGCTGCTGCCTGGTCTGCCTAGCTTGGGCGGCACGCTCCAGTGCCTCCAGGGCAGCTGACCTAAACAGCTCCCCTGGCTCGACTGGTACGCTACGGAGGACTCTCCTACATGCCTCCGTTAGTGGTGACTGAGCCAGCGAAACCTGGCGACGAGTCTGTACCAGCGACAAGGCGTCCTTATACAGAGGTGCGTCAACCGAAGGAGGTGCGTCAGCCGAAGGAGGTGCGCCAACCGAAGGAGGGGCGCCAACCGAAGGAGGGGCGTCAACCGAAGGGGGGGGGGGGGGGGGGGGACAGGCCCGCTAGCAGCCCCTACACCGGGCCCAGGCTGAAGGGCCAAGAGGCGACTTCATCATGCCCCTATCGGCAGCTAGCCAATCCACTTTAGAGGACAGCCTGTTTCTAGTCCTTCTATTGGGGGGAGCACACATAGCCATCGCTCCCTCAAGTCGCCGGGAACGGCCGAATTGATCTGGAGGAGGATG